TCTCCAGTCTATATTAAGCTCCATTAGACTCCAGAGCTAAGCTTTCCTGTAAGGAGTGATAATAGTGTGTTTAATCACCCTCTGCAGGGGCACGGGGCCAGTCCTTATAGGGTTTGGACACATCAAGGCTATTTACTGTGGGTAGGGGGGCTTGATTCCCCAGCCTCAGATTTTGGCAAGCCTTGTGTTTCATATAAATGTGTATTTCCTGCCAATAAAGACACTGTCCAAGAGAATCCCAGTGCCAAAAACAAGATTTGCACAACCCACGAATGAGTAACACGATACGCAGGTCCAGCTGACGTTGATAGCGGTTATTTTGTGGGCCAGTCTTTGATTAGAGCCGGTTTGTGAGGAAAGCAGGTGAAGGTTGTTGTTGACTCTTGAGTTGTGGATGGGTTCGCAGGTCTCCGGTGGAATGGCGGTTCAATGGGAGCTCAGTACCACCGTGGCAAACACACAAGGGCTCGCTTACACTACTGAACACCACGCACTCGATGGAAGGCAACTACAGCTGCCATGATGAACGAGGAACATTACTGCAGTCCATCAAACTACGCCTGGGCCGTAAGTCAGCTTCAGCGATACAAGAGTCCCTTGTTTCGTGTTTTGACTCACAATGTGGTTCATTTGATAAAATATTTGAGAGTAAGGGTTTAAAGAATTGCCTTAGGGTAGATGCCATATTTAATTTAGTGTTAATGAAAACTAGGCCCCAACGGATAGATGTGTTATACCTTGTGCCTTGGCATCCATTACTAAGACCAAAAACAAAATTAAAAATACATCATTTGTTGGAGTGTTTCTAGGGGCCATGCTATGCCTATTGCGATAAATGTTAATATATTGGCTCCATTGTTTTCACTGAAATAGTTTTACTATAACTTTTCTCTTTCTTTCTTTCTTTCTTTCTCTTTCTTTCTTTCTTTCCTTCCTTTTCTTTCTTTCTTTCTTTCTTTCCTTTTTTTCCTTCCTTCCTTCCTTAGGTTTACTCTTTTCTCTTTCTTTCTTTCTTTCTTTCTCTTTCTTTCTTTCTTTCCTTCCTTTTCTTTCTTTCTTTCTTTCTTTCCTTTTTTTCCTTCCTTCCTTCCTTCCTTTTCTTTCTTTCTTTATTTCATTCCTTCCTTCCTTCCTTCTTTCTTTCATGATTTTTATTTGTTTTATTTTTAAGTTATTAAGTATGCTTTTATTATTTATTTATTTATTTATGCTCTTATTAAATATGCTTTTGTTTATGCTTGTATTTATTTATTTATGCTTGAATTTATGTTTTTATTTTTATTTAAGTTTTCAATTATGCTTGTATTATTATTATTATTATTATTATTATTATTGTTTGTTTATGTATTTATATTAAGATTTAATTTATGCTTTTATTTATATTAATAATTATATTTTTTTAAATTATTGCTTTTATTAAAAAGATTATTTGTTTTTTTGTTCATGTTTTTATTTCTACTTTTAATAATGCTTATTTGCTTACACATGCTTTTATTATTTTTTTATGGGAAGTGCAAATCTATATGATTTTTCTGTGTCAGTCAGCATTTTTTATACAAATGCTCTTGACTGTCCTTAAGTTGCATTGAAGCAGGACATTCCTTCCTAACACCATGCGACGAATTGAACAGACTATATGTTTATCCCTCGCAGCCTTGTCTTCATTACCTTTGAATTTAACATGGCATCTACCACGACTACGTTCCATTGCTTCTGATTGAAAATGGCATCTTAAGAATATTGTTGGCTTAAACCAACGAAAGTGTTGTAGCAACATAAACATAACGGATAAGATAAACTTTGAATCATGCTATTGACTCATTGGAAATTTAATCTCAGATCATACATCCAAGAAGTGCACATGTGTGCTTGAGGCCTCTAAAATGGTGCTTCTATGGAAACGTGTTTAATGTCAAATTAAATTTGTACTTTAAAGTATGTTTTAAATCATTTAGTTTTAAAGAAGCTTTAACGAAGTACACTCATTGACATTGGTATTGATATTGACAACTGAAATATTGGTATCTGTAATTGTACACGTCTCATAGTTGCTCGATGCCTCTGAAATGCTGCTGGAAACGGTGGAAATGTTCCTGTAAAAAGGAAACCCGTTGTGCCCTGGGAGATTTAGAAAGTGTGCAGTTGTACGCCCTTGCTGTTTAACTCAGGGCACTTCCTCTGACAGGAAGTCGCTGCATCACAGCTCCACAGTTTCCTGATAGGAAGGGTGAGATTGCTGCTTCGAGCGTGTGTGTGAGTTTAGTCGAGCGTATCACATTCCCTCATGTTCTTGAAGGCAGTGCTTGAGTTAAACAGCTGTCTTGTGCAGTCTGTCTGTTTGGGTGTTCTCAGATAAAGTGTATTTATGTCTGAAGTTATCTCATGAGATAGTTTTTGTCTTCTTCTTCTTTTAGATCCGCCTAACTTCGTCAGAGTTTCTTGTCGTGTGCCGAATCATATGAAAATCTACTGCTCCTGGGTACAAACTAAGACAACACACCTGCCCACGTTATACAGAACCTCCTACAGGTGCACTCTCATCTCCATTTGTGAATAATAATAATAATAATAATAATAATTTTAAAAAAATATTTATTTAAACAAGTGCCTATTTATTTATTTATTTATTTCATTGGTAACACTTTACAATAAGGTCTCATTTGTTAACATTAGTTATTGCATCAGCTAACATGAATTAACAATGTACAATATAATTTTAATAGCATTTATTAAGCTTTGTGGTGACACTTTAGCGAACACATATTCACTATTAACTACGACTTTTGCCTCAATAAACTCCTAATTTGCTGCTTATTATTGGTAAGGTAGTTGTTAAGTTTAGGTATTGGGTAGGGTTAAGGGATCTAGACTAAGTTCATTCATTAATGTGATTTATACTAATAAACGGCTAACATGTGAGTAATATGCATGATAATTAGCAACTAGTTAATAGTGAATAGTGTTCCCTAATCTACGTTTGATTTTAATAATGCATTAGTAAATGTTGAACTTAACATTAACTAAGATTAATAAATACTGTTTTAAGTATCATTCATGTTAACTAATATTATATAGTTAACTAATGTTAAGAAATGTCACCTTATTGTAAAGTGTTAGCATTTTATTAAATTTTTGTTGATATATACATTACCATTCAAAAGACTGGGGTCAATAGGATTTTTTTTTTTTTCTTTTTACAGTGACAAATTAATACTTTTATTCAGCAAACACATTGAATTGGTTAACGTGACAGTAAAGACATTGATAATGTTTGAACAAGATAAATTTGTTGAACATGTTAAATGTTTTATTCATCAAAAAATAAAAAATAAAAATATTTCTACAAAAAACAATATTGAATATATCCATTAAAATATTACAAAAATATATATTTCAACATTGATAATAATCAGAAATTAATAATCAGCATATTAGAAGGATCATGTGACCCTGAAGACTGGAGTTAATGATGCTGAAAATACAGCTTTGATCACAGCAATAAAATATTTTTAAATATTTTAAATTTTTAAATATATTCACATAGAAAACAGTTATTTTAAAATGTAAACTATGATTTTATGTTTGCTGTATTTTTGATCAAATACATGTATTTATTATTTATTTATTTCCTTCCTTCCTTCACTGTTTTCTGCAGTGTTAATAAAGGCAGAGAGGTGGAGCCCTGCGAGCAGGAGCACATTGGGGTGAATGAGTGTATGATTTCTAACCCACCGTTCTGGACCTCAAAGTTCCTGGTGAACATCACCGAAATCAACCCTCTGGGATCCAACTCCACCATCCTCCAGATAGATGCTCATGAACTCTGTGAGTTTGCCTTCATACTGTTAGCAAATGCATTGAATCATTTCATGTATTTTGATTTATATTATAAGAGAATTTTGAAATATATTTACACATGGCCACTTCCCCACCTCAGCAAGTATTGAGGACTGTTAAAAGGCTTGCTTTAAAGAGTTCACAATCTTTTGTTCTGTTTAATGTAATAAGAATGGATGTCTGTAATTGTGTGTTTGCAGTGAAGCCGTATCCTCCCGAGGACTTCCGAGTTCTTCAGGTGGAAGGTCAGCCCACTCAGTTACTGGTGCAGTGGAGTTGTCCTTCATCCTGGCCAGCTGAAATCCTGTCTGCTTTTCCCTTAACCTTCTCACTGCGCTACCGGCCGATCGGCTCCAACTACTGGTCGACAGTAAGAACCTTATACAAACAATCAACCTCAATTATTACTTATTAATTAGATAGAATGTGTATGTGGCAGAAGATATTTTGAAGAATGTTAGTAGCCATTGACTTCCATAGTATTTTTTTACTTACTACTATGGAAGTCAATCAACGCTTTGGTTACCAACATTCTTCAAAATATCTTCTTTTGTGTTCAACAGAAGAGAGAAATTCATACAGGTTTGGAAGAACATGAGGGTGAGTAAATGATGACAGATTTTTCATTTTTTGTGTCAATCATCCCTTTAAATTCGGAATAATTATGTTCTGTCATCAGTTACTCACCTTCACGTTGTTCGAACCTTTATTTAACCTAAAAGACAATATTTTTTGTCAATATAATGAAATTCATTGTGGTCCAAAACAACACTGGAACCCCTTTGACTTTCATTGTATGAGGAAAAGGTCATTTTCTTGGTTTACAACCAACATGCAACCCTCATATCATATGAGTCTTCAATAAACAGTCCTGTAGTCCAGCCCTCTCAGCACACACACACACACACACACACACACACACACACAGACAGT